AACCATTTTTTCAGCATTTATATGAGAACCAGAGCCTCATTCACTCATTTATTCACTAAATAGAAACATTTATTGGAGATTAAGGTATTATGCTCCAAAACACTATGCCAGGTGTTAACAATATAAAAGTAAAAGACAAATCAGGGAGGGATTCATCTGAGGATTACCCAGAGTACAGTCCATCACGAATCTTGTCTGCCTGGTATTCTCTTTGTGAGCTGGAAAGTACCTTAGATTGTTTGTTGTGTTCCACATTCTGCCAAGATCAAAATGTCCCCAAAGTCCAGGAAACAATCTGACAGATAACTAGTTTAAATGGTCTTTTATCGTAAATGTTGATGGAAAACATAAAATAATAATTTAAAATAGAATTAACAAAAATGATGTATAAGTAATTACAAAGTTGCTGCTCAGGGAAGTATGGATGAGGTACATTTTCCACCCCATCCAGGATTGACAAAATCTGTTTTGATGCTTTTTTTTTTTTTTTTTTTTTTTTTTGAGACAGAGCTTTGCTCTTGTTGCCTGGGGCTGGAGTGCAATGGTGCAATCTCAGCTCACTGCAACCTTTGCCTCCTGGGTTCAAGCGATTTTCCTGCCTCAGGCTCCCAAGTAGCTGGGATTATAGGCATGCACCATCATGCCCAGCTAATTTTTTGTATTTAGTAGAGATGGGGTTTCACCATGTTGCTCAGGTTGGTCTTAAACTCCTGACCTAAAGTGATACACCCACCTCAGCCTCCCAAAGTGCTGGGATTACAGGCGCAGCCGGCCTATTTTGATGCTCTTTTTCCAGTATCAACAGGCACATTATGAACTTAATATTTTATATTACGTGTGTTCAGAATAGGGAGCTGTACACTACTTTTATTCTCATTTCAACTGATCTTGTCAAGGGATCTAATAATCTTGTATACTGGCACCAATTTCCCTTTAGCAAAACACTTTTGAATGTGGCTATTCCAATTGTTTCAGCTACCCTAGGAAGGCTACGTGAATAAACTGAATATATTGTGCATATATTGGTAATCCTAAGAGAGGACAATTTGTTATAAGTCCTCATGTTCCCACAGGAATCGCAAATCCTTTGTTACGTTATACATTTGTGATTTGGAGCATACCTGGCAGATATATTCTAATATTCAACCAAATGCAAATAGCCAAAAAAGTAACTTTGTCATCATATCACCATAATCGCAGGAACAAATGAACGCCCCACCCCCCGCCCCCGCTTTCTCATTATTTTTTCTAAATGTACTTTTTAGGAATACAGTGATGGCATTTCTATTAATGAACTCATAATTTTTATTCCTTGGATTTGTATGTCAGTCTTTTATTTTATTAAATACAAATGTATTAGGTCACATATGGTATTAGATTGAATTTTATAATGAAAAAGCCATTGGCTTTGGTGTAGATGTGTGTCTGTGTCTATTGAGGAGAGTGGGGAATCAGTAGTTTTTCAGTACTTAGCAAAGCATCTCTGTTTGAATTGATTTTGTTGTTGTTTACTTGTAATTTTTTAAGTCTAATACTAATGGACATTCATGGAAAAGTATTAATATATATTTTTATAAAGCTTATTTTACCTTAAACATGTAAACTAATCATATAAAGTATCAAAGCCTTTATCTATAAGCATATCAAGGCAAAGAAAACAGTTTCAATTATAGTTTGTCATTCATTCCTCTTCAGATTCTAAATATCGTTTCTAACTAATTTAAGTGTAGTGTTCATTGTTAGTGAACATTTATTTATTAACTGAAATCTAATTACACGCAAATTAACTGTGTAACCAGTTTATCCAATAAAACCCAAGATCATTTGATCACATTTCCAATGTTTCATTTCGCCTATTAACAGCCCAAAATATGACATTTATTTTTTGAAACAATGTCACTATTAGCCACAGAAGTCTATTTACACAAGAGCTTGTTTCATTTGACATTTATTCCAATAACTTGAGAACAATTATTTGCAACTAAATCTAACAGTATTTGTACGAGTACTTTCAAGCTAAAGTACTGCTAAAAAATTTCAACATGCATGTAATTCAATATGTTTACATAATAACATAATTTATTATAAAAATCTGTGACTCTAAGCACTTTATAGAATATGAATAAAGGAGTCATTCTACCCTCTACTGTAACATGGCCACATCTGAGAAAGGAGAGGCTGCTGAGCAGAAGAGTCCTGTGTTCAATTTTGTTGAAATGGGTTGGCTACACGGACTGTGCAGGACCACTACTGTGCTATCATAGCATTGCTTGATAGCTCAATTCACATCAAACTGCAGAAAACTTGCAAGCACAAGCCGTTAGCCACCAACAAACTGGTAGCACAAGCAGCCTTGGCAAAACACAGTTACTATGCAGGTGGCCTCTATTTTAAGCAAAGTCGATATTGAAAATCCAAACATACAAAAGAGATAAATTAGAGAATGGTTATTTGTATTATAAAATGGTTTCCTGCTTTATGAAAGAATTCACAAGTTTCCTCTAAATGGCAGCTCCCCAATGCTTTTGAAATACAATTTGATTTACAAAAGTTCAATTTACACGTGAATTTTTGCATAATCATTGTGAGAAGCAAAGTACACCTATATACAGTACTTAATTTTCTCTCAGGATTAAGGTGTCTTATTGTATTGATAAGAGACACTTAAGTCAAAATGTTATATTTTAAGCCACTGAAATAGAAAGTAAATATTACCTCTGAAACATGGATATTCCAGAAAATTTAAGTACATTTTTAAATTTTGTATTTACAATCTTGGTAGTCATCTTTACACAATAGCACTTTAGATAACACAAGTATATAGCTTTCATTAGGCCATACTCTTGGGTCTTATTTTGCAAAAATTTGTTTTATTTTATCTTATTTTGGTGGTTTTTTTTTCCTTTTTAGCTGAGTAATTCTAAAGAGATGTCAGACTATAGCTAGGCTACTTATTATATATCAGTTTTATACCTTACTGCACAGAATCACCTTTAAAAACTCAACTTTTTCTGCATTGCATTACTGTCTCCACTGTTAATCTGGGCGACTGCCATTCAGGTAAGACACTCCCTTATCAGCACTAAGCTCCTTGACAGGGTGAGAGTGAGTAGTAGGGGGGTGGCGTGGAGGGTGAAGAAGGTGTTATGAGGAGGGTAGAGACCCTGTCCACTGTATGTCTCAGGACGCAGCCTAGAGCCAGGCACCCAGAAAATAAGCACTCAATAACTGCTGAATGAAGAAACGAATGGACTGGGAGAACTGTCTGGATGGCTTTCTTCACTCTAGCATCCAACCCAGTATATTTCTGGAATATGTAGAATCAAAATGAATTTTCAGAGTCTGAAAAATCACAGAACCTCTTTCTTATTCCTTAAATGCTTTTTGTAAAATTCATAAATTATTAAGCCCTTGATGACTTGGAGACATTAAGAAAAATTAAGTCCCATTAGAGGTCAGAGGAAAAAGGAGAGGAAATTGAAGGGTCATTTCTTTACTCACCAGCTGCTGGAGAGAACTAACAAGGCACACAGGTTGACCAAAGTCCAGAACCAAATTAGGCTCTTAGCAATTGTGTTCAGACTGAGAAGTAGTATTTTTTAGTGTTTCAATAAAAACTTTGCCACAGGTATATTCGGAAACAGTGAAAGCAACTAATTAAGAACTAAAATAGAAGGGAGTTACCATTTGTCATTTGAAGGGCCAGACATACAGATACATTCCTGGCAGGGCCCTGGGAGACCGCATTCTGTAGGCTGGAACAATTTTGCTGTGCTGATGCTCATACCTCTTAAAGCTGCATGTGAAATAAAAGTGAAATAGCAATATCCAGCTGTGGAAGATAAAAATAAAAATCCTAAAATAAAATATGGTCGAAAATGCTTGAGCAGATAAAGCAAAACAGAATATAGTCAGTGGGGATGCTAGTGAGTTAATAAAACTTAAAGTGTTTATGTTTGCATTAGAAAATAAAGGTTCAAAGTATATGATGTAGGATGATTTTAAATAAAATAGTCTGGAATGCATTCAAATAATTTCATTTAAAAATCTACTGCAAATAAAGTATAAATCTAACAAGGAAGAGGATATAGAATTAAACCATAATTATTAGGCAAAAGAGTTTATAAATTTGAGTTCTTCCAGTAGGCGTCTTTAAAATCATGTCAGTAAATTAATATTAAGGTATCATCGCTCTTTAAATATAATGAGTTAACTTTTTTCTATCGACAATGGCATTTTACAGGAGTGACTTTACTTTCAGAAAAATAAAAATGAACACTGAAGTGGAATCACTCCATCAAGAGCTCTAGTCATGTAATTTAAGCCTGAAAACGATCTTAACAGAATATATATGCAAATTTGCCTTCACAATCACTTCCCAAAATACCTACCTCTGTATTCTGTATTTATCATTGCATCAAATGAGAGCAGTCAGAAAAGGATTTTTGAAACTCTTGTATATATAAATACTTCACTCAAAGATGAAGTGGTTTCCAGGAGTCTTCTCCACATTCAACTAGCATAATATTCTAGCTCCTCTTCTGTGAAATGTCAAATATCTGTACATTAACTTTCCTGTAGATCATTTCGGCCCACTATTTTCAACTTTCATCTAATGGATCGAAATAGGACTTATCACCTCTAATCAAAGAATGAGCATGTTATCTTACCACTGTAGATATTCAGAGATTTTATGTTGTTAAAGACATTTTTTCCTTCAATGCCCTTTACGTTATTATATATACACAATTACCTTCTATTGTTTTTACAGACAACTATTTTACACCAGTAATTATTAATCCAAATCATTTGGATTTAAGGAATTTCTAATTGAAAGCCTATCACATGAATTGTTTATAGTGACAGACAATATACTATTAGTAATTTTAAAGCTTTAAAAGTAAGTTATCTGTATCCACTTCAATCTCCACATGATGATAAAGGATTATTATGTGCAGTAACCTATTTATGAAAAGGAAACAGTGTGCTTCTTTCAGACGCCATCGCTTGCTTTAATAAGGAATTGAAAAGCTGAACTACTTTATATGCAGATCACCATCCCAGTTGCATAAGGATTTACAATAGACAAAACAAAACTATTTTTTGTTGTAAAGAAGGGCTGTTTGTTTAAATCACACAATCATGTTTGCATCTAAAATTATTTACAGTCTAATAAGGCTTCGTAAATGTTATATAGACTTGGTTAATTAAAATCATCCTAATGCTAACACCAAAATGAAAGTCTTGCTGAAGCTGACAAGGAAAACTTCAAGTAACACAAGCCTAAAGAAGGCAGAAGGAAAAAGATGCTTAATATCTTGGTTTAGGTAACTATTAATCGATTTGGAGACGCAAATGGTACTTGATTTGATAGCACCCCATTAATGCTTCAATTAAACTCAAGAGGAAAATGCTGTGTTGTCAGAAAGTGTTAAATTTGAGAAGGATTATGAGTCTAACCTGTGATCTAAAATAAATAGAGAGTAATGTATACGTTTTTATCTCTGCTACCTTGAATTTTGCAGAGAACTTACTTGGGAAGTTTTAATCTCGCCCATGAAGTCTTCCTTCAAGGTCTTTAATGGCTCATATGTCTTTGTTAAATGAGGTGTGTGGCGGCCTCTACTGGTGTGTGTTTATAGAAAATGTTTCAATAGGCAGAAAAAATATGAATTTCAATTAAAAAGTTAGAAATACAGACTTTTTCATTTAAATATATAAAAATACCTAATTCGATGCAGAAAAATATATTACTAGCTGTGTCATGTTCTTTTAATTAGGAAAATAATCTAAAACACTCACCATGTTAGTGTAAAATAATGATTTACAGAAGGGCATTAATTGCTCAATTCACTCTGATATTGGGTTAAATATATTTTATTAATGAATTATTAATCCTGACTGAGGTGGCTTATTACCTCTAGTCCACTGTTAAATCCCCTTAGTTGACTTAAATAAAATCACTTAAACCCAGAGGAAAGGAAATATTTTATAGTTAAGCCTACAAAGTCCTAGAACTAGAATCATTTGATGACAGGCTGGTTTCTATAACTCAAGCAAACTGTACGTTGACTTAATATAGCTGACACATCAATCTATTTTACAGTGTTTTCAGTTTCAAAAATACAACACATTAAAATATTTTCAATTTATCAAAGCTAAAAGCAACATTTAAGTAATGTACTTAAAGTGCGAAGGCACTTTAACACAAAGTAGTGATGCCCAGTGGCTATACTCGGTAACTGACGATGGAAATACCATATATCATTATTTACAAAAGAAGTCGTAGTCACAAAAGATCTTTGGAGATCTTCTACAAAATACACTAAATATCCATTTTCATTTGAAAAGTTTGCCTATTCTTTCTTCAGTCACTATAATCTCCTCTTCCCACTCCCACACTGAAAAACAAAGAAGAAAAAAGAAACAAAAGCATAAACGAAATATATGAAGAAATGCATTGTAGAAACATTCATGTCCACTGATGGTTCCTAAGAAGAGAAGAGAAAAAGAGAAAAAAAAAAAAAAGGTGGGGAGGAGAGCAAGAGAGAAATAATTTAAAGGAAAACTTGCAAAAGCAAAATCATTACTTCATCCCATCTCCCAAACATTTTCAAAGTCCCCCATTAACACTGGGAAAGGGAGAACAAAAACAAACACAAAAGCTAATGTCCTTGTTTCCAACAGTTCTCAGAGCAGCATCCTCTGATGCCTTAGGGTTGTAAATGATTTCCCTTCACAGCTGACTGATTGCAGTTTGTTTTTCCAGAACTTCGAGGTAGTCCGGTTCTGATTGCGGCTTAGCTTGCAGTAAAGGATGGTTGGGTTTTGACTGCCCCACAAAGCATTTCCTGGGAGTTCCATATAAAACGGTTTTATTGATTCTGTCTTGGTTTTGGCGTCGAGATTCATAGGAAGGGGCAAACTGCCTTTTAGGTAAGGTACAAAAGTTATAGTGGACTAGGCCTGCGCTGGGGAGTTCCTTGACTCGCTCAGCAATATTTTGATACAGCAGCTCAGGCTCTCTTGGTGTGGCCTGCTTTTCTAGCAGCTCAGTGGCACTTATTGTGTAAGCAGGTGTGGCTGGCTCTTCTTTTTTCTCCTCCAGGTTGCTGTAGCTGAACTCTTGCAGGTTTCGGTAATAGGCTACTGGGTCTCCTTCCTTCTGCATGTAGATGGGGTTTTGGCACATCTGACCCACAGGTGGGGGGATATAGTTGTAGACATGGCCGTCTGTTTTATCGTGAGTCTCAGTGTTGTAAGACCCATACTGTAATTGAAAGGAACTTACGTCTAAGTTGTTGGTATTCCTGGGAACACTTGGCACTCCCTTTCGGCGTTTCAAGACAAAGACGAATAAACCGGCCCCAAAACAGACAGATAAGATGAAAACAACAAGCAATCCCAGAATTAAGACAGACAGTGGAACTTCAGTGTGTAGTTCAGGATAGGAACTGGGAGACACACTAAGCGACCGAGGTGTGTCTGTATTATGATTCATTGACAAGATGGTTCCATCTGACAAGTTTGGGCTGTCTGGACAGATGGCCTCCCTCCCCAGAAATTTTAGTATCTCCCCTGCATGCTTAGCAGGAGATTCGCAAGTCACCTCATTAATGATGACAGGGGAGTTGGCATGTTCTGTCCAGTCTTTCAACCCCATGATGTCACAAGTACAGTCCCAGGGGTTCTCTTGCAGATCTATCTGGATGAAAGCCGGGAGCTGATCCAGAACTCCTTTCACGGGCAGGTGAGAAAAATGGTTGTTTCTCAGATTCAGCCTGGTTAGGGCCGTCCCCCCAAATATATTATCAGGTAAGGACCGAAGAAGGTTGTTGTTCAGAAACAGTAGCTGTAGGTTAATCAAAGCATCAAAGGTCAGGGGCTTAATTTCCTTAATGACATTATACTCTAAATAGAGATATTGCAAGCTCTGCAGTCCATCAAACATAGAAGGGTACAGCACTTCAAGGTAATTGCCATTCAGATAAAGTCTGCGTAAACTGGTCAGGTTTGTAAAGGCACCTTCCTGAATGACCGCAATCCTGTTGTTTCCTAAGTGCAGTAAGTCCAAAGAACTGTATTCTAAGAGGTCATTCTTATAGACAGTTTGAAGATAGTTCCCTGTTAGGTAGAGTTTCTTTGGACTGGTCGGTTTGGGCTGCAGGTCAGAGATATTAGTGAACTTCCTTTCTTGGCAATTTACATTCAGACCATTGTCTGAGCTCTGAGAGGTGCAGACACAGCTGCTGGGACAGGTGAGAGGCACAGGAGACTTGGTCTGGTACACCATGATAGGTCCAAAACTTTGCCTGTCCTTTGACACAGTCACTCGAGGAGTTGGACGATTTCTCATTTTGGGCGGCCGGCTGGCTTTTGGAGCCCTGGTTGGGTTGAGAGCAGGATTCATTGTAGGTGACAGCCTTTGGACGTGGGTGTCAGCATGGCTGCCCCTCTGACTGGAGTCACTGGCACTTTTTCTGGGACAGAGGTCTTGCCGGGTCAGCTGGGTCACATCTTTCCCATGCAACCTAAAGGGAGTTTCACAGACAATCTCTCCCACAAAAACAGTTATGGTATCTAGCCAAGCCTTGAGAGGAAGTAAGTCACAAGTGCAATTCCATGGATTTTCCTCCAGCTGAATCTCCATGATCCCTCCAATATGTTCAAGGACGCCAGCAAAAGGCATTACTTTTAACCTATTCCCCCTGAGGTCTAAGTGGGTCAGCAGGACAAAGCGGAACACATTGCTGGGCAGTGAAAGCAGAAGGTTGTCATTCAGGATGAGCACTTTGAGCTTGTTAAGTTTGCTGAATGCCCCGGCCTCGATGGCACTGATGTAATTGTAGTCGGCCTGGAGATACTCCAGGCTCTCCAGGCCCAGGAAGGTGTCCTCCCTCAATATCTCAAGCTTGTTGTTGTTGAGATGCAGTCTTTTGAGAGTTTTCAGGCCACTGAATGCCCCTGTTCGGATCTCCTGTAACCCGTTGTTACCTAGGTGAAGAGTCACTGCGTTGGAGTAATTGACAAATTCGTTTGGATACAGTCTTGTCAAGAGGTTTCCATTGAGAAAAAGCTGATAGATTCGATACTGCGGGGGCTGGAGCAGGCTAACTGTTGTAAATCCTTTGTTCTCACAGTTAATATTCAGTACGTTTTCCTTTTCTTCGCACAGACAGCGGATCTTGCAAATGTCTTTGGCAGTTTTGCGACTCTCCGTCTGTAAGATCCCGGCCACGGTTAACACACTGAGGAACCAAACGCCGCTCAGCATCTTTAGGCACCTTCGGTGTCAACTCAGGTACCTACAGGCAAACCTTAGGTGGGGGGCAGGGGGAAGAAGCGGGTGCAGGGAAGAAAGAAACAAGGAAGCCTGATTAAAAATGGTAAAGCAAGGAGGCGGAGTGGGAACGAGGGAGAATGAGGGGGTTGGCAACACGGCAGAATGAAATCATTGCATTTTTCAAAGCGGTTTCTTTTCTCCGCTCCCTATTCCCCCACCCCGAGGCCACCCACACAAGTGCCCCGGGAACACACATGCTTGCACCTGATTTTCCGGGGGGTCGCAGCCAGCAGCCAAGTCATTAGTAACCGAGTTGTCCTACTAAATCCTGCCCATCTCCTCCTCCCCTCGGGTATCTCGAAGAGATCTTGGGCAGCTCGCCCGTCTTGAGCTCCCAGCAGAAATCGCAACCGCTTTAGGAAAAAAAAAAAAAAAAAAGCGCAAAAAGGGGATGGGAAAATCAGGAATCAGGGGGCTGGGGGCAGGGATAGAGGAGAGAGAGAGATGGCAAAAACAGCACGAGGTGGGGGTTACTCACACATCAGGAGAAGACTGAACCCCTCTCCTCTGCAGTCCACCAGGAGTTTAGCATCTTCAGGAAGTGGGAGAACAAGGTAAAATAAGACGCTGCTTCCAGGGGGGATGCCCTGCTTTTTGTTGATTGATTTAATTTGACTGGGGGTGCGCAGAAATTAAAAATCCGACAGGAGGCAAGAGCGGAAGAGAAGAGTTGGAGCGGAGGGAAGCCGAGATGCCAGGGAGGGACTGGGGTGCGATTCTGTTGGGAGGTCGGAGAGCCGGCTGGCCCGGTCAGCGGGCAAAGGCGACGGCGGAGCCTGGGCGCGCGTTTCCAATTCGGTGGCGGCGGCAGCAGTGCGTCTAGCAGTTTGAATCTGAGAGGCTTTGCAGGCTCCCCGGGACAGGACTAGGGTGACGTCACGGGGGAGGGGGCAGGCAGAGGATCCAGGGCGCGTGGTGGGGGAGGGTTGGGCAGATGCTTCCCTTCCTTGCAAGTGGCTTTGCAAAGCTCAATTCCCGGCTGCGTCAGTTGATTCTGAACTACTCCACCTCCAACCTGGCTGGCGGCAGGAGAAGCTCCTGCAGAGGGGTTTCTCAAGGAGGGGCCCTCCTAATGGGCTGGCACCTCCTTGGGCCCCTCTATGTGTTCTCTTTCACTCCTCCCTGTTTCTTTCACCTACACAATGCCTATGGAGGGCAGGGCTGGGGGTGGGGGGTTCTTCTCCCAGATTCCCAAGCAAGGGAGAAGTGTGTAAGAGTGTGTGTGGTGTGCCTCTTTGCTACAGGACTGGTGCCCCACTTGCCAGCTCCTAGCTCAGATGCTCTCTGTGCAGAGAGAGTGGGGTGTGTGTGCATGCACCAATGTGTCTGTGTAGGAGGGTGAGGAGTTCTCTTAGGGGATTTATGCTTTACATACAGAGCCCTGATTCAGTGCTAAGATAATTCCTTTCTGGGTAGTGACCCGCCAAACAGATATTTGCCTGGACTCTGAAAGTCAGCTCAATGTTAGCTTACAGACTGAGAAAAAACAAAAACAAAACCCTTTTCTCCCTGAGGTTTATACTTAGCCAGATAATGAGGTTTAAACGTGCGCTTCTTGCCTGGAGGAAGGAGAAAAGAAGTGGGTGTCAGAAAAGCACTGCCAGGCTGAGCCTCAGCTGGGAGTGGGAGCCAAAGGAGGGGTGGTTGAGCCCTCCAGGCTGCAGGGGCAGGGGGAGCTAGGAGAAAAGAGGAAGCTGGTGCAGGAAGACTGGCTCCTGAGAAAGAGAGGAGATGTAAAAGGAAGCCTGGCCGGAGACCTAGCTTACCTGGGTTCTGATCTGGCTCTGTTGCTAGATGTGACACTAGCTTCTGGATCTCCCTGTCTCCATCTGCAAAAGGTGGGTAGGTAGACCGTATGAGCCCTCCCAGCTCTGACATCCAATGTGGGTTTAAATAGCCTTTCCAGAGCATTGCTAATGACCAGGTGTTGGATTTTTTGCCTTCATTATCTGTTTTCTCCTTAATTATTGTACAGCTCCTTGGACCCAGGAGTCTTCATTGTGGAATCAATTCACAAGGGGTAAATAATGTCTGCTGTTGCCTGGAAAGGCCTTGGTTGCCTCTAGTAGGAAGGGGGAGATGGGTCAGGAAAAGGAGGGAATCAAATAACCAGGGAAAAGAAATCCACCAAATGATGTGCCTGTCCCACAAAACACTTCAGCTTACTTTCTGAGGAACCCACTGCCTGATCAAATGTGGCATAAACACAGATATAACAAACCACTTGAGAACAGAACGCCCCCTGCTTCTCCCCTTCTCCTTCCTTGTTAAGCTTGGGTCCTAGGATTGTTCCCTTTATACAAGCTCCTTTCTCTCCGGGAAGGGCGGGGGTAGTTTATAAACTTAGGCACTAAGGCAACCTGTAGCTGCGGTGATCTGTGCATTATTTTCTTGGGCTTTCTCGCTTTCTCCTTCTTCTTCTTCTACAAAGAGCCTTGGACTAGGCATCAGGAGCCCCCTTACCCTCTAATTCTTGCTTGGCCTTTAGCAAAATACTTTCCTTCTGGAGACTCCAATTTTCCTTCTCTATAAAGAAGGGCAAACTTGAGATGAGTTCTGAGGCAGAGGGACAGCGCTGTGGATGGCCTCCCACTCTGTATTGCAATTGCATCATGAGATGGAAGCAGTCTGATGCAGTGGGAGCACACTTAAGCTCCCTTTCCTCGCAAAGGAGGCATTTGTTTCTATGTATTTCCAAATGTTAAAAGCACACAGTTCCTACAGCAATAAGATTTATTCATTCAGTCATTCATTCAACAAACATGTATTATGTCCATATGTAACTGAAGTAAAGATGTGAGAGCCAGAGCCGAACAGGACCTTAGAAGTCAGGTTCATTTTACAGATGAGGTCATTTCTCAACCAGGGAAAGTGCTGACTTACTCAAGAAACTACAATTAGAAACAAAACCCAGGGATTATTAGTCCCAGTCCATCATTTTTCCAAAAAGCACACTACTGCTTAATATGAATTAAGAATCTACTTAAACTTAAATAGTGGTGGTGGTGTTTTACTTAAAGTTATCCTTTTTATTTTAAAAAAAAAGTATTTGAAAGTGAAACCTCAAATACTAGTTTCAGTTCTCAGATACAGTGATTTCTTTCAAGACACTGATGACGCTTTCAATATTCCTTGAGGACAGATTATTTTTGCTAAAAATTTCAGAGAGAGAAGAGAGACTCAGAGAGAAAGGTGGCGGTGGTTGGGGGCTCATGAGGTTCTTGAGACCTACAGAATGAAGGAAATTCACTGGTAATCTAACTGTGGGAAGCAACACCAGGACCCTGAGGGGGTCTTCGTTCCTGCCTGTCCCTGAGAGTCCACAGCTGCTTTCCAAAACGTAGTTACTAGGAACAAATCAGCTTGAAACGCGATAACCACTTTAAGTAAGTTTCATTTGGCCCCGTGTCTTCTGAAGAACTGCCGCAACAACCCCCTAGGGAGAGCGGGCTTTTAAGGCTGTGGAAAGGTTCAGGGTGAACTGGGACCCCAAGGGAGGCAAAGGCGGTTATTAAAATAAGGAAAACGCTCCTTCTCCTTGCTGAGGCGAGGGAGGCTTAAAGAAGAACTCCGTGGGTCGCCTGTCTCACTCGCATCTAACCCGGTAGAGCCTGGCTCAGGTCTCCAAGGATTCTACAGGACACGGTGGGTGCCGGCGGGCTTACAGCCCACCTCTGTCCCGGCCGCCATCAGGCCACGAGGGGGCTAAGAGGAGTCCGAGAGGCCAGAGAGGGGGCACTGCTTGCCCGCAGCCTCCTGTTCTAAACACCCGCCGCCCGCAAGCTGGGTCGAATCCCATTTCCGAAGGGCGCTTCCGGGAGACCAGGTGTCTCCGAGCGTCCCAGATCGCCGGTAACTGGGCACCGGCTGCAAGCGCAGCTCTACCTTCCCTACCGCTACCTGCTAGACGCCTGGTGCGGTGCCCGGCATGCAGCCCCACAGCAGGGACGGCCACTCAGGCTGCCCTCGCCTTGGGGCTTGGGCACTGCAGGCCGACCAGAGGCTTCTAGCTCGCGCCCGGTGCGTGGGCCCTCCCCGGCCGCCTGTGCCACCCCACTGCGCGACGCGCGGAGCCCGACCACGCCCGCGCGGACGGTCCAGGGGTGAGGAATCTCTAGTGGGGATTGAGGGTAGAGGACGGCCGCCAGCGAGCTGCCCTCCGCGGTGGCGCCCAGCCTCCCCACGCTGGTCCCCCTCGCAAGGAGAGGTAGCTGGGAAAGGCAACAGACTGAGGAAAGCCGGCTCACTGGCCGCGTCGCCACCGCGTCCCTGAGTGCTCAGAACTTACCCAGCGAGCGCGCTGCCCAGATCTTTCCCCGGAGGCGCCCGCAGCATCTGCGACTCGGTGAGGCAAAGGAGCCGGCACCGCTTCGGACTGGCGCAGCCCAGGAGCAGGAGCACCGCGGGGAGCGCGGGCGGCGCCCCCAGGGCAGGCAGATCCCCACTGGAGCGGCTAGCCAACGGGCAACGCTTCTTGCAGGAAGGAGGGAGGGAGAGGAGAGGGAGGAGGGAAGTAAAGCGGGAGGGAGGAGAGGGGAAGAAGGGAGGGAGGAGGGAGGGAGGGATCGCGGCCCCTCTCCCTCACTTATCAATCACCCCGCAGATTGCACCCAGGACGGGGATGTAAGAGCCCACAAAGGAGCCGCTGCTCCATTTCTCTGACAAGCGCTGCGGAGCACTGCTCACGCCTCTCGGCCCCTCTTGCCTGGAACTCTGCCCAGCCCTTGCGGCTTCCACCCTGGGCTGCAGCTCGGGCTCGGTCAAGTGAAACAAGAATGGCACACGGTCGGTACCATGTCCAAGGGGCGACTAAGACCACTGGGTGGAAGTTAACGACAAGTGAAAGAGCAGTCAGCCGTCCGAGTTGGACACCCTCCGGGACAGCTGCCTCCCCTAACTAGTAAGCGCCCAATCTTTGGGAGTTCGCAGGCAGATATTTCAGAACCTCCTACGAGGATCGTAAACAAGGACTTTCAACATAATATAGAGCTGAACTTGAGTTGTGCAAGTGTGTTAACAAAAGCAAGTCCTTAGCAGCGTTCCAGTGATTGATTCCCTTTATTCTTCACGACGACGTTGCTGGGATCGTCTAGAGCGTTATTTTTGCCATCTTCCCTTCCCTTTCCTCCTTTCTTCTTCCTCTTGTTAGTAGTCCAGGTGGTTGTGATTCTATTAAAGGAAGGCGCTCTGTGAAAAGAGTCAATGTAGTTCAAGCGGGAGGTGCGGTTTTTGCCAAGAGCATTGCGGTTCCCCTTAAGACTTGCTTTCTCTAGGGCCTCTCCTCTACTCTTCCAGAGTATTAGAGATAAAGTAGTAGTTTGATAAATTTATGCCAGGAGTAGGGAGTTCATTTGATGATACTAAGGCATTTTCCCCTCCATCCTGTAGGAGAACGTCATTAATTCAAGTCGTCACCACCGCCTATCCTTTTCATGTCCATTAGAGTCTGCAAAAACCCGAATCCTTCTCAATATCTAAAAGCGTGGAGGTGGAGAGCAGACGGGGAGGCGAGGAGAGGGGTGCAAAATTAGACCCAAAATTACCTCTCCAGCTAGTGGATCTGCATTGGGATTTGTCTGTTTTCATATTTCCCATACTTCACGTTCTCACAGCACTGACAACCACTTTATTCTTGTCCTTCCCGTGGGAATCTTCTGTGCTTCTCCTGTCCTCTCCTTCTTGGCTTTCTTTCATAATGGTTTTCTAAGGAGATTATGCTGGGCTTTTTGAAAAGAAAACTACTGGTAATCTTATATTATGAAGATGTACCGAGTTTGCTTTAATTATAGTCAAAAGAATTATAATCATATCTTTGGAGTTGTAAGGGTCATTACTGTTCCTTTTACTTCATTCTTGAGAAAGCCTTTTTGAAATGTTCCTACCATTCAGAAAAGCAACTTCAGAATAACATAGTTCTCACGTAAGCACATGGGCAGTGTATGTACGGTTATATATGCAGAAGCATTGCTCTTCTTTTTACAATATCCGTATTAGTGTAAACATCCAATGTGCTGTTTGCTACAGACTAAAAACAGTGGACTGAGCACATCATATTATCAACTAAGTGAGGTCAGTTAATACTGTTACTTCTGTGTTTACCATATTTCTGACTGTGTCATCTTTTCATGTAGTTTTTAGTAGATGTTATAAACAACTGCAAAACACGGGGCTAAGAGGCCATTCGAATACAGAAATAATGAGACAGTCATGCTGAAAAACTGAGACAGTTTACTAAGAAGGGTGACGTGTCTGTAGCCAAAGGGAACATGCAAAATAAGCAATAACTTCTATACAGATTAGAGGAGGAACATGGCATTAATGATGAAAAGTGATACTTTATTTAGATCCAGTAGTAACATGTAATAGATGGCATGCATCAATTTTAATTAGCCTTGTAAGCAAGTCTAACCCATTCACCAGCCTTTGAAAAGCATTTAGCAGCCTGCCTTTCCACATGGGACCACACTGATAGTAAGACAAAATTTAAAAGAGCAGACTTTTCTTTTTGTCAGCATAAAATTTTCAAGTAGGTAGATAGCTGTGCTTTGAAATGCACAGACACAAAAATTGATGAGCAATATAAAACTTTCTGAGAGGGTTTTGCATAGGCAGTTATAATGGAGGAGAGTTTGAAGTCTGTGAAAAATTTAAATATACCAATTTATTTGAAAGCTGCTTTATACTGAATTTTCTAAAAGTTTCTGTGTTAGAGGAAAATTTCCAAATAGAATTGAATACTAAAGATACCATATTAATGTGCTTCTGTTAATTAATAAAAATCACATTACTCTTTTTTATAGTAGCACTGTAAATGTATCTTTATATCCATGTGCTGCTTTCTTTTTAAAAAACTTTTATTTTAGGTTCAGGTGTACATGTGCAAGTTTGTTATATAGGTAAATTTCATGTGGTGGGCATTTGGGGTACTGTAAAGTTCATGTTACTAAGCAGGACAGAGATCCCTGATCGGAAAACTAGTGGAAAAATAGAGAAATAAAACTAAATCTTGCCTGGGTTTTTATAATTTCATTCTAAGATTAGAAGAAAACCAGAAATTTCATCTAGGATGAATGAAATAAAAAGCGCGTATGTTTCCAGGATGATGCAAAGGATGTCCTATTACTGTGTAGTACATGATTTACCGAGAATGTTGTTTTTTCAACTTCTTCACACCTATCTAGAACTAGAAAGCTTCAAAACATATCAAAGAAGACAAAATAGAAACATCATGCAGAGTCAGTAACTCTAAGGCAGATGTGCTGCATTTTCAGTGACCATTGTTTCTTTTCAACCAAAGGTTTCAAAGAAGAGTTCCACAGAACAAATTCCTAAATAAAGAAACACAACAAAGAGGACATGCCCTTAATATTAGTAATTATAGTTTACAGGATATTGTAGACTTTTGTTCTTGATGTTATTGAAAAGGTGGATATTTTTCAATTCAATTCAATTATTTGGATTATTTGGCAGGCATTTTGGCTTGGTTGAAATAGTGCTGGGCCAAGACCCAGAGCAGTTTTTCTTTTAATCAAATACATATCCAAGCCCTTGGAGCCCAATGACGTGGGTTCAAATTCCACCCATGCTACTTTCTCACAATGGGACGAGAACAGCATTACACCAATTTCAGCTCCCCATGTGTAAAACTGGAAGCTGCTATGTGGAGTGAGTAAGGATGGGATGTATACAGAACTCTTGGAATTTGAATGGTGGTACATGTATGTGCAAATAAATCTTAAACTGAAAAATTTTTAAACTCACTTCTTAAAATAAATAAATTATACAAAACATTTTATATCTGTTTTCCATGTTTCTCATGACAATCCTCAACAGGCCAGCATGATTATCCAGACTTTACAAAAGAGGAAAGTGAGACTCAGAAAATTTAAGTAACCTGCCCATACTCACATTCTTGGTGAAATGGTTGATTTTAGTCAGAAACCAATATCTTAATTTAAGTTGGATAATAGAATTAGCATTAGAAAAAATATTTACGATTCCAGTTGGGGCCATGTAATGTCAAACATTTAAAAGAACTTCAAAAAATTCCACCTTTTATTTTACAGATGTTTTCAAATAGTTACATATATATATACATCAGGGCTCAACCTCAACACCATTGATATATTTGGCCAAATGATTATTTGTTGTGAGAGCTGCTCTATGCAATGTAGAAGGATTAGCAGCATCCCTGGCTTTTGTGTATATGCGTGTAATGAACATATGTATATTATAGACACATACATGAAATTGTATTATATAAATTACATAAATTATATAAAATATATATTATATATAATTATATATATTTATAATATATATAATGCTGGTTATTATTTGCAGCAAGGAAAGACAGCTGTCAAATTAATGAACTGATGTTCTTGTTACAATTTTTAAAAATAAAAAATATTATATAATTTATATAATATAAATATAATGAATTTATATTATTAATACATTGATAAATTTTATATATTTATATGTATACATTTATATTTGATATATATTATATAAATTATGTTAAATATAATATATATTATATATTATATGTATAAAATGTGTGTGTATATAAACACCATAATATTTTTAGTGCTTAAACAATTCAAAGGAACAAAATGCACATTATGACTTAACAACAGAGCAAAAGCTAGATTCCAAGCTGCCTGATGCTCTGCTTTGTGATCTACTAACTACACTCTACACTCTTTCATGTCTTATGGCCCAAGTACTATCAGTGGAGGCAGGCGATGCATACTGGTGCTGCTCCTCAGAAAGAAATATATTTTACACCATGATCCAGGGGGCAGTCATGAATTGAAACATGAGTTTTCCGAAACAATATTCCCCTAATCATGGCCCTGAACCCTGAAATATTATTCTATTGTAGTCGATTTTTTTAAGTGGATGACTGTGACCCACTAAACTGAAGTCACGAGTGACTGTAGATTGCCTCTTACAGTTTGAATAACACTGGCACACTGGAATGGGCAGGAAAGGAAGGAAAACGGGATAGAAAGGAGAAAAGAGGCAGTAGATCAAGATGGGAAGTAAAGAAATAGAAGGAAAAGACAACTGCATGTCGTACAAAGTTGTAGAAAGACTTATGGTGCCCCCATCAGTTACACCAAGTGCCACTTATTAATGACACCTGTTCTCTAAGGACCCTGGATCTCCCTCTTTTTTGACTGAGTCCAGTGATTTATCAGTAAGAACCATATTTAAGCTTACTAGACTTGGGAGCACATATACATGGCAAAAGCCACAAATTTAACAGATAAGGCTCAGGACAGCATTAGTAGGTATTTCATCTATCCTGACACATTCTATCTTATTAATTTTGCTGCAGCTGGAAGTTATATTTTGGTTTGGAGTTACAACCTAATGTGTTCAGGAGGAAGCCAAATTTATTAGGTTTGACATTGCACTTTATTGGAATGGTATAATGTAGTTGAGCCTCTGTAATAAGTTCTGTTGATTTTATTTATGTATTTCTGTTTGGCTAGTATAAATATATGGTAAAGTATGTGCTGTGGTAGAGAGTTTAATGCTGACTCTGCTGGAAAATTCAAAAATGTCTGCATGGAAGATGCCCATTTCTAAAGAGTTACAGTCAGAGGAGCAGCTACTCAGGATTTGCATTAAGTAGTTCTGATTTTTAAAAATGTCATCATTTGTGAAGAGGACTAGTCTATTAATAGGAACAAAATGGCAAGGATGACATACCCTAGATCTACCTGAAGTTATGATTTGCACAAAATGAAGCAGAGTTTAGAAATTGTAGGTTTAGAAATGAGGCAAGTAAGATATAGAATGTAAATAAAATCATTTCCAAGTAATAACTGGATGCAACATTCAACGATCACTGCAAATCAATGCAAGGAGAATGGATTTTTTTACCTTGAATCCTGATGACTTATTACTCAGATGTGATATCAATTATTTTTGTCCCCTTCTATTTTTCATCTCCCAGGTGGTTTCTTAAGTGACAGTACAATTACATTTGGAACACAATCCTCTTCACCTGATTATGGTAAGTCAGGTAACCTCTTAGTCAGATGTAATGGCCCCAGGTCATATATGAAGTAACTTTTGCATCTGCCTTTGGTCTCACTATATTCCTAAGCGAATTGAAAAGAAAATGAGCCTCAAGTTTTATGAGTTTTAGGTTACCTAAATATACTTGAAGTTCTCTTAGAAAAATAGCCTGAAGTGTATCTGAAGTGGAAGAACTATATGCAGTATCTCGAGAGCATCACTTTGCGCTAATCTCAGGAAACCATGACAATATTGAAAGCACAATTATCACCAAATTTTTCCTCCACCATAGGCATCACCACAGCAACACAGGTACAGGAGTGGGGTCAGTGTCACTTTATTAATATTTTGAAAGGAGGCAAAAGCAAGCTTTTTTTTTTTTTTTTTTTTTTTGCTACACATCGTTGCTTCAGAATAATGAATTCAGTATGCTGATCCTTTAGCTTTTCATATATAGGTCTAGTTGACCCAGGTTAAAGTATGGCACAATTAGAACTGGAAAATTTATTTTCCTTAATTTGAATATATTGAACTGTTTTATTTTAATGTATTTTTCAATAGAAATCCTAATAGATAGGGAGCTCTGTACATGACTGCTAAATGATGAATGCTGGTTATTATTTGCAGCAAGGAAAGACAACTGTCAAATTAATGAATTGATGTT